CGAAACAGAGTGCGTACCTAATAACAATGGTAAAACAGGATAATATAAGCTTCAGGAGCCTGCAATATAAAAGTTTAGACCTTTTATTTAAAAACAAATCATAAGTAAATAAGCGAAAAAAGAGGTGTTGCACACAGAGTGAATTACAGAGGAATTGCGCAGTGAAAGGATTCGTTTAAACGATTACGTAGTTTTCGCTATCTTAGGCACGTGTTAAATTTTTGAATTCTCTACGAGACGACCAATCGTTGTGCTAAATATATATATATAGCACAAACCAAGGAGTCGCAGGTACTCTCAGCTAGCTCATAGGTAAACTCTGGAAGAGAAAACCATAGACAGCGCTGCTACCAAAAACGAGCAAAACTAGTCAGAATGACTTCATGAATACCAAGACCACCTGTAACAGTGGATGTGGGGTTCCGATGTTAATGATGTTATTGGGGTGTTCTCAGATGTTAACCAAATGTAATAAACATACTCAAAATCAGAGTCAAAAAAGCTGAAAAAACTACCCGGAATAGAAATGATACGGCGTGATGATAATGCTCCGGTCTGAAGGTACCAGTTTGGCTACGAGACGCGAAAACCGGTAGAGAATGTTATTATTTCGCTTTTAAGTTAATTACACTACTGCACACAATAGCAAACGAAATGCCCATATAGGTACAGCAGTGAATAAAAATTCAGAAAACCGAATAGCTTAATAATGAAACAACAGAAATCGGATAAGTCGGAAAATGAATCAATGATAAAATAACAATAACGGGAAATAGTCTAGTACAAGAAAAAATACAGAAAACCTGAAAATGACTTAATATTAAAACAATAAAAAATCCGTGAAACCAGAAAGAAAAAACCTGAAAACCCGGAAAGCGGCTTAACAATTAAATAAGCAAGATTTCATCAAGCTGAAGCAAAGGCCCTCTCGCTACCTACTTCAGCACAGCTCGCCTCTTCGATATCATCACTGGAGAACTTTTTGCTCGCATCAACCGACGGCGACGGGCCAACGCCGACTCATTAACAGGTTTTAGCAGTGTCGGTATTGCTGCATTGGTGATCGCCCGATATGTTTGATCCAAAGCGTCCTGAAAAATTAGCCTCGTTAAAGAACGCACATGAAAAATTCTACGAAATCTGCAGTGGTTTTAAAGGGTCGAACCGGAAGGAGCCGCATACACCTTAAAGTACCACTATGCTGAAGGCAATGATGCACAAATGCGAAACATGTCCACTGGTGAAAGCAGAAGAGCGAAGGCTGGATGTGATAGAGACAGCAGTGGAGTGAAGAACGCTTGGAGTGATTCTTCGTGACCACACAAATATATTAACGGTGTGTAATATAAGGGTCAATTCTACTGATAAGCCAAATAATTCATATATATCAATAGTAAAGTAACTGCTGACCTTTACTATGGAAGGATCATTTGCAAAACTGAGTCGTGTTGTTGGCAGTGAATTGCGACGGACAATCCATGGATGAGTAAGAATCTGCGCGGCGGATAGCCGTTTGGACGAATCAGCATGGAGAAGCAACTGGACGAGATCTTTTGCTGATTCCGAGATATTCGCCCAAGCTGGACCATTCAGTGAATACTTTCCTTCACCAACGCGTTTCAGGATTTCTTGCGGTGTACTATTCTCATCGGTTACATATGGAGTCTCACTAAAACACAATGGCAAACACTGTGCACTAACGTACTCAGGATTCAACAAAAAAACGTGATAATTTGAACAACGGAAATCTTCTGACCAACACTGCGCTAAATTTCCGCGCT